AGTAGCAGTAGCAGTAGTAGTAGTAGTAGTTGTAGTTTTGGGGGATCAGTACTCTAAACCCTGCGAACCTGCCCAGATCCCTTGCGCTACCAAGGATACCAACGGTTCCTGGGCGACTGCGAGCAGCGCACCGTCGATGGGCAGCGTGAGATCAGCTTCGACGAGTGGGTGAAGCAGCCACTCGGCACCCGTCACAGCCGTCGCCCGATGGGCGGGTGGACGGGCTCCTTGGATGGGGGTGCCCATTGCGTTCGAAGCGCGTAGTAGTAGAACGGACCTTACTGGTGTTCGAAAGAAGCACAACAAGAGGTGGGAATTGTAGCCCCAAGCCTTCCTAAAGGTCCGCTTGATTGGTTGGGCCATGGATAATAGGAGAAGGTTCCCATGGCCCGTCAATGCGCACATCCCTTGCCATCCTGCGCAGGTACGAATGGAGATACGATGCCGATGAACGCCTCAAGGTGCGGATCCACCGGAGCATCGACCATGTCTTCTTAGTTGAAAAAGGTTGTTGATCTGAAAAGCACAGGCGTGGCTTTGGGAAACATAAATTTTTGTGGTTTGAGATAACAGAAATTCAACCACATGAACCACAAACAATATATGAGTAGGACCACACAACAAAGAGAGAGTGGCCCTCAAAAGATCTCAAAAGGAAAGATGCTCTTGCAAGTGCTCTTACACTAATTATGGTGTTTTCTACCTGGTCTTTCTGCGCAGGCGCGCAAGGATTTCCCGGAATGCTTCAGCCATTCTGGACCTGCTCCGCTACCTGTGGAAGAGTGGGAGGTGGACTATTTGACACATAAGGAGATCGAGAAGATCATGTGACCTGGATTGATCGTCTCATTCTTCTCAGCAGACCTAGGTCCTAGGTTGATGTGACCCATATTGGCTCAGTTTACGGGGGAGGCTAGAGATTACTGTGGAAGTGTGTTGATGGTTCATCCAGTGGTTCTTTTTTCCGAGGCCGACACGAACCAATGGTAATCACTAGGCTTGTGGCTAGCTTGTGGGGGTTGAGTGGAGCCAAATCAACATGAATGATTCATCCATTCTTCTCAGTGGGAAGATGTGGGAAGTGCAGCCCTTTGTTTTGTCTGCAAGAATGAACCAGTACCCATCATGTTTATCTAGCGCTGAGTCAACTGACACCGTGTTGCCAGGTATCGACATCCAGCATACACCTCTCAGGCCTTAAAAGCTTTGATGATTGTGCATGGAACCCCAATTCGGCGGCACTTCCTGGCACTTCTTCAGCCATTGGTCTAGCCAGTAGCCTCAAATTTGCTGGGATCATCGACGTTTTCAACCTCCACCAATGTATGTACCGTTTTCCACGGCTCGCCCACACACCGAGCACCGGGTTCCGTCCAGGTACCGGCGGCAGACGGAAGCCTTAGCTGCTCGGAGAAGGAAAGATGAGAAGAAGGAGGCCATTGTGGTGGAAGAGGCCGGGTGCACGGAGAAGACCAGTCGCCACCCAGGTACCACTCAGGTATCACCCAGGTACCACTGGATCCTCTCAAGACCCTTTCTAGATCCCTTGAGACCTTCTCATGACGCGTCACGCGTCACACACGTCACGCGCTCTCCAGGGGTGATAGGGACCCGAAGCAGTGTGTGAGGTTTCCGCTTGGCAGGAATTTGGAGAACTCCACACACACAGTTGGTGACATGTTGGTGCTTGGTTGCTGAACGTGTAGAAAATGAACACACACACACACTTGCTTGACGGAATGATTCATGCCGCCCGAAAACTTGTGATGCAGATGATGAAACTGCTTCTGAGTCACATCATCTACATTTTCAATCTATCCTCCCACATGCACCTGCCAAGCAGCGAAAACTGAGCAATGGGAAGTGCTTTCATCGCCGTTGCCATTGCCGTGACTGTTCCGCCTTCGGTCCAGGCGGAACCGATCGCGTCGGTGAACCAAAGCGCTCGGCTCGGCAGGACAAGTTTCGAAGCAAGCTCTACGTGGATGCCGAGGATGAGAAAATCCTCAAGGATGCTGTCATCAAGAGAGGCTGGGAAGGAACGTTGGAAGGAAGATGTTGGAAGAAAGAGAGAGAACGGGATGTGGTGTTTGTATGTGTTCGTCGCCGGTATCCCTTCTACACGACTGAGTCGATTGCTGGCTTTTCGGAGTCTGTCTTGGAAGCACAAGCCAACTGTTTGTAGCTGAGTAGCTGCGTGGTTCCAGTTATGAGCTTCTCCTGGGTTCTTTTCAGTTGGTAAGGTGATAGTTAGTGATAACTCATGACCAATTTTTTTGAGGACTTGCCGGGCATGTTCCATCATGTGTTGGATACACCAACCATCACCGATCTATAGCTTCTTGTTCGAAGATCAAGTCGCACCGGCCACTGGTTTGATGTGATCTCCAGTGGTGTCGGATTGAAACTGATGTCGATGGTATTTTTGATCGACGAGCAGCACCAGAGAATGGAGACAGTTCACAGAGGAGTGAGATCGATAATATGAACCCTATGACTTCTCACAGACGGATCACACCCAGCAATTGACCACCAAAGTAGGGACTGGCCGAAAAGGGAACAGCTCGTCTCTCACTCCCGTGCACACCCGGCTGAGACCACCAATTCTCTCCGGTGCCACATGTTTGCACAGAAAGCCACCAGTTGGCCTTACAATATCTCAATAGCCACTACTTTGAGACCACAACTTAGGCCGGTGCCACAAGCCACTTTTGCCGCTGCGAGGCTACAACTACTGGTGGTAGCACACGCGAGGCGCGAGGGGAGGCAGATCGCCTGGATCCTCAGACTGTCTCAGACCCACGGCCGTTTTGATGCAAGGGGCGCGTGCGCCGCGCCCCGTTCGCTGCGCCTGCGCCGCTGCAGGGGGCGCCGCCCTCCTTGCACGTTTTAACCGCTGGGAATGCGGAGATGTGGGAATCTCACAAGTGTCTCATGAGGGAAGTGAAGGGTCACTGCATGACTGACGGACAACAAATCATATGCCATCCTCACATTGGCAACTAACTAGATCTTTTGATTCTTTGATCTTATCCTCTCTTGTATCCGAACTGCTGCGGTGGGGGATGGATAGAACCATAGAACTTACTTCGATGTTCGCAGTTCTCATTCAGAACTCATGGGGCGACCTGCTCCGTGGGACTTCCTCGGATCTCCGGGTTTGTACAGAGCCGAGCTCACGCCGAGCTCACGAGACACACGCGGCACCTCGTCCCGTCGCAAAAGGTGCTTGTGCTTGCAGACTGTTTCCAAACATGCCAAGAGTATTGAAGGCCTTGGATTTGACAGTCCTTTCTATATGGTGGTACCATCAAGGAGACAAACAGAAGATCCTTTCAATTCTATTGAGTCATCTCCACCATCTCCATGTCAATTCTCTGGACCTTTTGTCCAGGCCACAGAGAAGAATTGGATGGCGACCTTCCAGCTCTACCGGATCATTGCCGCCTGGCCCACCGATCACCTCGACGCCTCGCATGGTTATTAAGGGATGAGCAGCTGCGGTTGGGATGCCGCAGATATCCATCAATTAGCATTTCCATTTTAATTATATGTACCCCTAGAAGTCGAAAGACTCTATACGTTATCCCTCTGAAGTAGAAGTAGAGAAAGTTCCTCTTGGGATTACCTAAAGACCATTTTGTAAATTATACATGTATTTCATAGTAATAGTGTATCCGTGTATCCTATATAAGGTGAATTTATATTGTATTATAGGTGAATTGTAGGTGATTGTTTCAGAGATGTTGGTGTTCTTTCCCAAAAAAGACATTTCTTAGGTGTGAAGCTCTAGTGAACCGATCCGCATGCGCTTCGGGTGAACTTTCGCTGACGTGGTCATTAGGGTTAAGCACATAAGCACAAAATTGATAGAAGAAGAATCCAACAGGAATCCTAATCCAAAATTTTGTGTGTTCTTTTATGCCTATGGAATCTCCCTACTCCAAAGCGAACACTGCATCCAACATAGAGTTGTGGAAGACCAATGATCAAAAACCTTGCTCCTCAAACAGACCGTTTTCTGCAAAATAGAAACGATTTCGTTCCCAGAATCCTTTTGGGTTCACAACAGTCCTTTTGGTGCGGCCACATGCTTCTGCTCAGGAAAAGCAGATGGCCTACGCCAGGGTCGACTGCTTAAAGCTTGCTCAGTGGGTTTGCAAACTTTGCTGGAAAGTCTTGTAAAGCTTCTTGAATCGCCTACAGATCTTGGGGCGCAGCATGCGCATTTTATTGAATTGCATCCGGCTTTCGCCAAACAAAAGGCCCAGACCGGTAGCTCAAAAGAACATCAGACTGTTGGACCATACTGGACGGAGATGTTGGGGTGGCTGAGATGTGTTCGGACGCTGCCTTCGATTGGCAGATCATTGAAAGCACATTGGCAGACATGCTATGCACGGCTCACACGCCTGTGGTGCCCCGCAACGGCTCGGCACTTGTGTGTTGGTTGGATCGAGGTCGGAATCGAGTGGGATCCATGGAAGCTGGCGGCGCAGCAGAACGCCACCATGTGAACGCCAGTTTCCTGAAAAGGTCTTCAGAGCTTGAGTGCACTGATGAAACAGATCGATTTCTTTGATTGGAAGAAGATCAACAATTAGTCTACACCTGACGACGCGATGTGAACGGACCGCAGTTGGAGTGTTCTGAGTGTTCATGAGACTCCACGCCGCGATGCGATGCGACTCCCCACTGCGATTCGCGTCGACGAGATGCAGCTTGTAACTAGAAATCCACTAGAGGGGAACCCTATGTTGTGCTCTTCCATGTCGGCTCGAAGGACCTGTAGCAAGTCGGATGAGGATGTTCGAAGCGTTTTCCGCTTTGGGTAATCACAATTGACGGCAATTATTATACCCATAGGAGCCAGGCATGTCACTGATTCAGTTGCAGAACTGCGACAAACACATTACTTGGCTGATCTCATGTGATTCATCTACATGACAGGAAGAATTCACGCCGAAAGCATGTGCCGAACATGAGGCCTTCGACAGCCTAGCCTTGTGACGATTTCACTGAAGCCCAGCAACCGGACAAAACCCCCAACCGAGCCCGGCTCGACCTGGCTTAACCTTGAGCCTAACCGGCTCGCGCGACTTTTTTCAAGGGTGCCCGCGGCCCCCATCCGGACCGTTGGACTCCACATGCAGCTGTCATGAGCTTGGGACCTCAAAAGCCTGGGAGGTCACAGGATTCCTCGAGAGCCGGCTGGGTCGGAGATCGAAGCGTTCTTCCTTTCCGGAAATACGCCACTAGAGTTTCCGGTTAAGCATGAATTTATATACCTTGGATAGACCGACCCCCTTCATGTTCATAAATTGACCGTGTTTACCCGTGCTTACACTGTGCCTTCTGGCTTTGATGTGTTCGTCTTCTTTAGGATCTCCGGACTTATATATACTTATATAAGTCGTCTTCTGCTCAGATAGCCACCCATGTTACCAAACACTCAGAACCCATCCTCGGCTGACCGGCGACCGGTCGATCCGGTCGATGGCCTTCATCTGGTGGCCGTGAGATTTGCCGAATCCGAAAAGCCGCGCTGTGTCCAATCACACCGGAAAAAAAAGCAAACACATATATATGTTAGAAATTGTTAGAATATGTTTAAGATATGTTTAAGATATGTTTCCTTAAACTGCAGTTGTAAGGTTTCATGATGTTCCTCCGTTTCATGCGAACCCAATGGTGTGAAGCTGTCAAGCAACCGACTCCCATCACCTCCACCATGGCCTCAAGCATGCTTGAGGATTCCTCAGTCACTCTGTGGGGTCTGTGAAAGATACCTGCTGCAAGTTCTGCAGCACTCAGGTCAACCACAAAGTTTGTCTATTGAAGTGCAGTGCTCAGCGGTACGGGTGTGCAGGGTGCTCCAGTGCGTTTCGATGCCATGGCTGCTTTGGTCTGTGAGAAGTTGAGTCAAGGAGATACTACGTGTGGTTCGTTTGCTAAAACTCTGTGTCATCTTCGTAGAGCAATTGGACCTCTTCGTAGAATTTAGATTGCAGCAGTTTCTTCGCTCAGCTTCTTCCCCCGACAAAACCTCTTGCGGTCGTGTCTCCTGCCGGTCCAACGCCGGCCATGGCGCGACGGCCGTCCAGGTGTTGCCATGGCCCGCGTTGTGCATCAACGCCAAGGGGAAGGTTCTGGACACTCGATGCGCGAAGGGTCGTCTTCGCCGGTCGAAGCCGACGAAGGAAGAACAGTACGGCGGCATCTTTCATGCTGAGTACTACGCGGCGTTGTTGTCTTTTCCCCTTTTTGGAGCACTTGCATGGAGTGTGTGCCTGTGTCATGCATGTTCAAAGCATGTCAAAACCTATGATATTCAGAGATATTCAGGGTAAATATATGTACATATAGTGTTTATACTTTACTGAGGTAAACTTTGAAGTTTGCACTATCCTTGGTGAACTATTGAGCATTTGGATGATAATGTTTTTGCAGACAATATGCATGGACAAGCTTGCCTCTGAACAGGACAAGCTTGGCTCTCAGATTGTCCACAATCATGTTTCATGCCACAAGCGGGGCTGCCATGTGCACATGATTACCTCTTCATCCGATCCTCCCTTTGTAGCGCCATGTCCCACCAAGGAGACCAACACCGCGACACTGACCTTCTTCGGTAGCAAAGACAAGGTGCGCTTTCCGCTTTCGGATCGCGGAGGACCGCGGAGGACCACACGCCACCAGCCACGCGCCACCGGCCCACCCTGGTGTGACGCGCCCGGCTGGGCTCGATCCAGGTCGACTTGCTCGGCTCCTTTGAAGCCTTGGTCGCGGAGGAGGCGAATGCGCACCTGCTCGGTTGAGGGCACCAGGGCCCGAGATGAGGGCAGTCCAAAGATCTTGTCCCGGATGCCACGTGTTGTTGTATTTTTTCTGCAGAGTAATGTGAGCTCTTTTATTCATGATCCCCGCCCATATATGAGGCGTGCAAATTTCATGGTGGGGGGTTATTGATCAAGAGTCTACATTGTACAGTGTACATTGGGCTCGCAAGTAGCGTCGGTGGCGAACTCATTTCCTTCGCAAACACACGAAGTTGCCTGACGAAGTGTGACGAAGTCGGTCCTTGTGATACCTTTGGATTGCCGGGTCATTGGACAAGCTGGCAAGAGATGCTGCTAAGTAGTGGTAGTACAGGCGCGCCTCAGGGTGCCCCTTCAGGTTTCTCATGTTGGGTGACAGCAGCTGTTTAATAAGGTGTGACATCAGCAAACACTGAGCCACCTGATCACCTGATCTTATTCTTTACAGGTCCTGAACCCCCTTCACCTCGCTGGCAGGTCTGGACAAGACTGATCAAAACAACTCTTCCAAGGCAGTAAACTGAACATTCATATCAATCACAACATGTTCATAAATGTTCTACTTGTGCCATCTTGTGCCTTTCTGCTCTGCATGTCCTTTTTCTATTTTCAGTTCCCTTTTTCATTTCACCTCCGGAAGAAGCACAGAGCTCAAGGAACTTGCCCGCCACCCCACCACCCCTCCCAATTCGATGTCTCGCCAGGAACGCGCCGAGACCGGTGTCTACTTGAAGGAGGTCCTCGAAGGCGCCGACAGCGGGAAGTTCTTCAAGGCGCGCAGCGCGCTCGACCGCGCCGGGCTCGACGAGCGCCGTCGGGAAGACACGTGGTGGTTGTTGGTTGGGGGTGGGCATGTTGGAGGGGCAATACTGTTTGCAGATGTGTTTGGTCCTGTAGCCTCTGAGAAACATTGATAGACTGATAGATGCAATCTCTTAACAACACCTTTGCCAAGATGCAGAGATGCAGCCAGATGTTCTAAGAATGTCCGACCCCCTAGACCGTACCTGGTACCTAATTAACTTATAGTACCATCTATACTTCAGGATTGGCATAGGATCAGACTTCTAACAGCGCTTGCTGTTTCTGGAGTCGTTCATAGTCGTTCCCCATGTTCATCAGAACCATGGCCCTAGGGATCAAATTGGATTCATTGGGATGAACATGCATGACACAAAGCTGTATATGATCTATAAATGTGCATCCTTTCTTCATCATCTTAGATGTCTAACATCTACTCCAAGATCTGCAAGCAGATTCAGTGCCATGTACATGTCAGATGCCCATCACCTGACATGGCCTCCCGGTCGTTGCTGCTTAGCTCCCCTCCCCGGCCAGGTGACGCTCGTCACGCGCACAGGCGCGGGGAGAAGCACTCCTCCTGAGAGACTCGTGGCTGAAGACCTGCTGAAGACCTGAACCAATTTGGTTGTGACTTGCTGATGGCCCTCATTTGGGGTCCTCCCCAATGGTTGTTCACAAATTTGGGACTGACTTGATGGCAGATCATTGGATCCTCCCAACTGGAGGGGTTTGCACCCAGAGGGCTCAGCCCTCTCCAGAACTGAATTAGAACTTGGAGCCTCATCAAACACATCAAACTGGAGCCGCACTTTTGTGTCTTGATTCTTAGGGTGATGCGATATGATCCAGAGCGGAGACAAACAGACATCATCAGCAATCCACTATATAAATCTATATAACACCACCCTATGTTCACGACTCAAGGTTTCTTCCAGTCGGTTTTTTGCCCCCGAAATGTCCTTCCGAGAACCTCATCATCCACCCGTCCCCACTTTCACGTTTCCGTCGTCCCCGCCCGGCACAAGCGTCCAGGGCGGAAGCAAGCATGCCTTCGGGCGGTGCCCCTGCGGACGGCAGGACCCCGCAGCATCAGACCGACTCGTCGGAAAAAGCGGACTGAGTGGAGGGAAGAAGACTACATAAACGGATGAAGAGGTTGTATGTTACATAGGGTGTTAAACGAATTATATTGAATTATACATGGTTATATAAAGATACATGGTTATACTAGGCTGCAGGTTGTAGGTGATATACATGCATGGTACCATGTATACCACCGGCAGATATGATGTATTCCACCATGACATAGAAGGATCCACTTTGGAGAGTTCTCGGGGATTTCTTATCCGAAAAGATCTCGCCTTCCACGTTCATGCCACTTGGGTCCATAGAGGTAGCCCGCAGTGGATCTATGTTAAGATCGATATGTTCATATGGTCTTTGTGTTAATAAGTCTCAGGCACCAAATTGATCCTTCTCCACTTTGCAGCCCACTGTCCCACTATAGCAACAACTGGAGCCAGCCTAGATGCCCAGTGGACTGCATGTACTTACTCGTCCAAGTGTACCTCCTCTCTGGACAACCCATGGTGGCTCAGTCGGACAGGAAAGTTGGATGGCGCAACCATCCTGGTCCAAGACATGGGTGAGATCAGAGCTATGGCAGGCGACGGACACATTCGCACGGTTTGTGCTACACGGAATTGTAAGCCCCAATACCAACTGGTTTGTTGTCCTGTCAATGTGGAGGCTTCTCTTTCCCTCCCAAACTCATGTTTCTTCCATTGGCTTTGGCCACACCAAAAGAAGCACTTCTCAACCTATTCGAGGAGGTGACTGAGTCGTGCTCGCTAGATAGGTTTCTCAGAGAATGCGGGCGAGCACCTGCCACACGACATGCCCCTCATCCTTCCCCTCATCCGCCCCTCATCTGCAACTGCTGGAGCTTTGGCACCGTGACGCAGCAAACTCGCTCCATGAACCACCCAACTTGGTGTTTGCACACCGGTGATGACCCCGGTGAAGCACACCAGCATCTTTCATTCCATCGGGGTCTGGACCCTAAGGCCAGTCCTAAGGCCCAGAAACCTGTGGAGTGAAAAACTCGGTGAACCAAACCCTTGAAAACCTGTCAAGTTCACTAGCACTGAAACACCAAGGGTGAACCAACCCTAGCTAGTGTTCTTGCCTGGAGGCACTAGCACTGCGGGTGGCGCCGAACATTTGTCTGGAGCGCTGGCCGCCAGTGGCATGGCTTTGCACCTGGGCGGACGATGTGCGTCTGTTTTGGGCGACCTGCGGTAGTGACTCTTTCTGGAAAAAGTAAAACAGTCTTGGCGCTTATGGAGTTCACAACCTACCCTTGGTGTTCCTCTTGGAGTGCAGGCTGCAGCGAATCTCGATGTGGGGTCGTCCTTGCTTCGGACATTAAACATGGTGTATAGCTGCATGGTCATGCAGTGCCAATAAGAGCTGCGCTGCACTGCACATTGCACTGAAGACGTTGTTCCAATCCGTTTTTTTACAGCCGGGCTGCTGAGAAATTGTGGGTGTGCAGATCGGTCTTGACTTAGCCGACATGCTTTTTGGAAAAAGGCGGTGAACGCCATGCTTTGGACGGAGGATTGGCACTGACATGGCTGGCAAGATCATCGAGTGGACGCCGAGCATGGAGCTCCTCGGAGAAAAGAACATGACCGTATGTGTGTGTGTGTGTGAGTATGTGTGTGTCGAAGAATTAGGCTGCTACATATAGATCATAGATCTATGTTTGTAGGGACCAGTCAAACAAAGGGACATGACATGGACATGGATATACATACGGCACGGTACAAATGGACATGTTTGGCATCATCTCCTCACCCAACCTCGGATGGTTCTTCCAAACAAGCTCGAGAAGCACCCGGCGGCACCGCGGCACAGCACGGCTTGCCACCGCGGCACAGCACCGCGGCACCTCCCCCGAGGAAGCTCACGGGGCTCTCGAGCGGCCAGGCCAAGGGTCAAAGCTTGGCCAAGGCGCTGAATGCCGCTGGGCAACACCGGCACTCTCAGCGACGCCCGCGACGGCGCGCGTCCGCGACGTCCGCGCGCGACGCGACAGCTCGGCACGGAGAGCGTCGTAGGCGGTCCCACTGGTCAAGCTACCTCGACCATCCGAGCATCTGGGCGTAGTGGGCTGGGTGGTCCAGTCCAGATGGTTGGATGGTCCTGGTAATAGATGCCATTGCTGAGTCAATGGAGAGCGGATTCCGGTCAAGGCTCTCAAAAAGGCCACAAAAAATGTTTTCAAGGCTCTGACACAGGTTCCCGAGCTTTCGCGGGGGGCCCGTTGGCTTCAAAAGGATTTCAAGGACGTATCGAAACATCTTCAGAAGGGTTTTTTCGCATCCTGAAGCCAAAGAAGACCACCCTTAAACCAGAGGCACTGGTATCTCAATGTATCTGAAACCCTTCAGGATGTTAAACCTTCCTACCATATCCTACCATCTTTAAGGGTCTTCAGGTCCACCTTTCAGACTTGAACGTCAGTTCACCCGAGCTGCAGAACGAGCTGCTTTCCCCCAGGCCATGGCTCCAACGCCCATCGAGACGGCGCTCGAAAAGGCGCTGCGTGCCTTGGCGAGCGAAAGGTGAGGAGAGTGAAAGGTGGTTGAGCCACTTGGGGGATTGAGCTGCTTTGGCATTTTCATGTGGGTTTTGTTGGGTCAGAGATCCACTATGTGTATGTAGGCTGTATAGTTGTTGTTTTCTAGTATGGAATTTGATGTCCTGTCAATGACCCAACCTTTCAAAGAGGGCCGGAATCCTTCCGGCCCTGTCTTTTCTTCCGGACCGATGCCTTGACCCTTCTTCGTCCGGGGCCATCCGTCGACGCGTTCCCATCCGCCGCCCACCGTGACGGTGTGCCGCCGAGGTGGTCAGAACGTCGCTGGCTTCTCCACGGAGGTGAGCACCACCAGCCGCACGGCCAGAGATTCGGCTGGTGCGGGCGAAGGAAAAAGCGTCCGGAAGGGGGAAGGGGGCAAGCGTACGCTTTATGGGGGTTGGACATGTTTGGAATATTAAATTCAATTCAATTTGTGTTGACTACAAATGTTCTATTAAGCCATATTAGGCCACTGGCCCAGCAAGGCTGCGAGAAGTGCAAAAAATGTCGTGTTATTTTCAATGTAAGTTTGCTTCAGTAGTCTTGGTTCCGTAGATAGCAACGTTCAATCTGTTGCAGGGAATTCGACTCTCAGAAAGGTGTTGTTCATAATGTGGAGAGTGTTTTTGGATGTTTTGGTTGCAGGAATGCTGCCAGATTTGATAGCAATTCAGACGGAGATATGCTAGGCCTACGCTTGTCAAGAATGAAGAAAGAAGAAGAAAAAGATGAGAATAAAGGCCATTGATTTGTTCTTGCATGCACTCGTGGCCAAAGTCTTTTCATAGTCTTTTCAGGAACGGTTTCTTGCTATGTGAAAAAAAAAAAACACATGCGACAATTTGTTTGCTTGCCATGTTTCTCTTCCCCTGACCTGCACACACACACACACGGACACGCCAGCTTGCTCGATCGTATCGCGCCCTCTTCGCTCCTCGCTCCTCGCTCCCTTTCGGCTCGGCGCGCCCACCGTGACTCTAACGACCAAGGTGACAAAAGCCGGGACACTTGTTTTGAATGAGTCGCTTCGGCTTTGGGATGGAACATGATGGAACAGACCTGGCTCAAGACCATGCAGATGTTCAGTGACCCAGAGATTTTGCTCATTCTATCCAACGGGGTGAGTTGATTTGTTCGGGATTTCATGTTTCCATATTCTTCCTGAACATGCAGGAAACAATGAAAGCAGCATCCTGTGGAGTTTTGGGAGACTGAGGCAGACATATACTGGCAATTCTGCATGATGCTTGCTGATTTCTGGCAATGACTCCTTGACTTCTGGATCAGTCACACAGCAGACTTCTTGGCTCGCTCCTTCTTATGGGTTGGTTGAAGAGACCCACGAAAGACACTGTTTCCGTTGGGTGGAACGGCGCATCAGATCCGCAAAAACACATGTGGGCCATTTTAACGAAGAAAAGGAGCCTGGTTTGTTGCTGATCTCTGCGCCACAACGTGAGCCCGACCAGTCCACCATGTAGCGAGTTTGGCCTTCCAGGTAGGTTAACCAAAGTACGCCATCACCCACCGGCCATATCGTGTGTTGATCCCTTAGGGTTTGCTAGGAACCAATGGCCTCAAAGGGACCACCCTACCATCCAAACGCTTTTCTTCCAGAGACCCCTCCTCACCTTCATGTTCCACACCTCCAAAAGCACCTCCAACCTTCACCTAGAAAAGCTCCCGCCGGGCCGGCGCCGCCCTCGCGGTCCTCGCCCGCGGCCCACGGCCCACGGCCGGGGAGACCGCGACGCGACCGGTGAGGAGGGCTTTCTCAGCTTGGCGCCGTGGAAATCGGCCACCGGCCGCCTGGTGGGCGTTGTGGCGCGCTTCGAGGATGCCGCGGACGTGGACAAGCGCATGGCGGAGGCAGGACGAGGGGAGGGTGGGTGAGGGGTGAGTGGGGCGAGGGCTGGGTGTTTCGGAGGACGGTTGGGGGTGGATGGGGGTTGGAGAGGTTAACTTGTGCATGGCTGGGTGGAGGATGTGGAAGTTGGAAGGCTCCAGGGCTTGGGAAGTGAGTTTCGTCCCAAACCCCTGAAGCGAGAAGCGTTCACCCACAGATCAGTTTTCAGGCGAAGGAGTGGTTCACCATGTGTTGGAATGGAATCCTTCTAATACTAATGAAAATCTCCACTATAAGGCGCTATATATAAGATGCTTTGTTTGTTACCAGTCGCGCAGCGGGCCTGGGCCTAATCAAGTTGGATTGGTTCGGATGCCACTCCCAACCGCTGTGGCAGGCAGATTGGATTTGTGCCACTTGGGACCAATTGGATCCGTCGGGTTCAACGCAATTCACTGAATAGGCCCGTCTGTGGGCCCATTGCCCATCTTGGGAAGGACCCATTTCTATCTCAACGGGGCCTGTCAAGGTGGCTATAGGGTTTGAGGCAACTTTGAATATAATATTTATATAATTCTGATTCGATGTATGTTGGCATACTTTGGGCATGGTCCACGTGTCCGAGACTGGAATTCGATCGTTGTTCCCGTGGGTGTGTGTCGTTGCGGAGGTCTCGTGTCTAGCCACGCGTGTGTGGAGAAAGGGCGCGTGTGATCTACTTGATGTCTCCCTGGGCATGTTTGGGCCCTTGAACCGATTCTGAAAATGGGCGTGTTCCGGTCCTTTTCGATTGGCCCCACTTGGAAACATCGTCGCCGAAACCAAGAGCGCCATTGGCCGGCAACGGCTTTGCCGGGGAACCTGCAGGAGGGGTTTCTCGTTTCGAGTCGAGTCGAAGGTTTCGCCCGAGCCTTGGAAGATGTTCGACGGGCCCTGAGGATGCGAGTACTCAGCAGCTGGAAGAGGCCAATGCCTTGATCTTCTCCATGGACGCCAGTTTGTACCTTGGCCCACACCGAAGAAGTTTGGGGAGCAAAGATCGAAATGCCACTGGGCTTGTGGAAGCATGAGTTGATGGGTAGCTGCTAGCTTATAAGATCTTGCCACCAAAGGATCTTGGGACATCTTGGCATGTTGAGCTATGGGGATCACACCCACATGGGGATCAAAGGCACTGAACGATGTGACAAGCATAGATGATTTGCCAGTCTTCCAGGGTTTCAAGGTCTACAAAGAGCTTTCTTGCAATGTCTCACTATGACATACTCGTAACATCTATGGAGACTTCAAATGCTCGTTTGACATGTATTACACGTTTGTTGTTCGGCGCTGTGCTAAGCGATGTTGCTTCGTTTTGAAGGGACACTCCGAAAAGAAGCAACTAGCAATCTTGGATCTATGAGCAACCGACCAAATGATTGGAAGACTATATCAATCTAAGAGGTCGCCGCGGTCGCTGAATGGGAGAAGTCGAAGAAACCCTTGGCTGAAATGGGCGTGCCTTTCTGTTTGTCATGTCGTTGAAACTCCCTTCATAGTGCCTTGGTGGACCCTTTGGGTGGACGTCAGTCGTTGGTCAGCTCCGCAGGACGATCACGGAGTGGAATTCTCGCTTGGTCACTGCCACAGGGAAAGCACGCGAACGGGCGGTTGGGAGTCTGGTCTGCGAAAGGAGGGCATGTGCTTAATATTTCTTCACAGAGACGTGTAGGCAATGTAGGTATTATGTCTCATAGAAAAGAAACTTACTTTTGGGAAGAAGAAGTGTGTCCGAATGAAGGAAACACGTGGAGAGTCTCATCATGACGCTTTTGGACACATACTTATTAAGAAAAGATAACTCCCCTGCAGCACGGTTTTGATGTTCAGAATGGGAGAGTCTGGGAGACCTAAATGACTTCACCATACCTTCGAAACAACAACACAAACTCCCCTGCAGACCCCCGAAAAGAGAGCTCGACGTTATGCGGGTGTGGTTTTTACGCGTTTTTGTTGTGTTTTTCTTGGATTTTGTAATGTTTTGAAAGAGTTTCCACGGTTGCGGTCTAGATATGTTCTTGTGCTCCTGTTTCCCAAACAAACCAACTTTTATTTGTTTAAAGCAACCTCTGGATCCGACTCTACCCTTCCTTGCCCATAAGCATTCTCATTGTTGCAAAGGTAGCACTTTTGGGGCTTCTCCCTCCACATTCTTTATGAAATGGGCTTCTCCCTCCACATTCTTTATGAAATGGAGAGAAGATCATTATTTTGAAACACAATGTGCCCACCAGGCCCAACAAAAGTTGAGAAACTTGCTTAGTAGTACTGGGCCTGGATGACTGATTGGAATTGGGCTTTGCATGGCCTTCTTGACGCCCATACCCATAATAAGCCTCATCCTCATTCTCAAGGTCATAGGGAACCACTCTGCGAGCATTGGGAGTTCACATCCTACTTTTTGGGTTTCTCCCTCCCCATTCTTTATGAATGGGCTTCTCCCTCCACCTTCTTTATGAAATGGAGAGAAGATCATTATCTTGAAACCCATCCTCATTGATTGCCTAGCAAGTTTCCCTCACATGGTGCCCATGTGCTCTTGGAGGCCAAACAAACCCAATCGAAGCACCATCCATATTGCGCTGCTGTCTGGGGCATTTGCTCAATGGCTTGTATAGCAATACAATTTGCTCAAAGTCAGGATCCCAATCTCTCATGCCCAGGTGTTGCGTCTATGCAGCCGCCTTTGGTCTCAAATGAAATTGCATACATACAGCCACAACCCCAATGCCAGCTGTTTGATGCACCCAATGCTTCATCTCATCTCATCTCATCTCATTTCATCCACATTGGAAAGTTCCATTTTCCTATGCTCTCTAGCTATATGCCCATCTCCAAATCAAGACACTCTTCCACACTCCACCATTGAGACCATACAGTCTAAGTATTCACCCTCACCACATAGAGCCTGAATCCCCCATTCCTTCTCCATGTTCTGATAGGCAATGATCCAATTGGCATGGCTCTGATCTGTCAGATCTCTCATCAAGCTTTTGCAAAAATACTAGCTGCTAGCTCTCATGATTCCCACACAGAAGTCCATCAAATATAATCTATCAGCAAGTTCAGGATATCACATCATATATCATCAGATCATCACCTCTATGAGGGGGATCTTGTCTCCAAGACCTCCAATCTCAATGAGTCCTCAATCTCCAGCAACTGGGCCTGCCGGGCTCCTCCCCGGGAGAGGGGGGGGGGACGAAAAAAAAGAAATTGCTCATGGGATTGGGCAACCTTTTTTTTTTCGCCCCCGCCCCTGAGAAGCCCAGGCCCCAGGCCCCAGTTGCTGGGAGATTGAGAACTCATTGAGATTGGAGGTCTTGGAGACCAGATCTCCCTCATAGAGGTGATGACCTGGTGATGTATGATGGGATGTCGTGGAGTTGCTGATAGATGCTGGTTGATGGACTTCTGTGTGGGAATCATGAGAACTAGTATGATTGAATAAGATTGATGAAACATTTGACACATTACAAGTCAACATGTTTGCTAGACACGTTCTTCAAAACAACTAACATTTTCAAAAAAACACAGAAAGCCACAAATCACAAAAACGCGTAAAACCCACACCCGCATAACGTCGTTTTCTGCCCGAAAATCAGGCGTCCCTGTTGTCGGACTTTTTTGGGGGGAGAAGTTCACCGCCCGAGGCTTCCGGTTTTTTGGGGTGAAGAAGGCGGTCGACCGTAAGGGATGGATCCCTCTGGGACCCAGACAGAGAAACTCCATGGGACAGGCATATTTGCATACATGGGAGTGGTTGGCAGGCATATATATATATATATACCAGTCCCACATATGGAGTGTTTGGGTAAATAGAACATCTCTTTTTATGTCCTAGTAGCCTAGCTTCTCGCCATATTCGCCTCTCTGTGTGTTAAACCCCTCTCACCAGCACCAGCTCGCTTGCTCAGCTCCAGCTCTTCTCCTCCCCAGCTTGACTGAGGAGCAAACTGAGTGGCGTGGTGGCGGCTCAGTCCATGAGCCTGGCGCAGGAAGCAGCCCGGGTCGCCTTAGCAGGTGACCTCTCCAGCCCAGTGCAGCGGCTAGGCTTGGTGACGAGATAGAGGAGGTCAGGGGGGAGGTCAGGGGGATCTAGACCCCCAGACTGATGACAGTGTTGGGTAGAGGTTGTTTCAATTATTATGTTAAACTCAACACTTTTTTGGGGAGAAGAGGAATGAACAGAGTTGATGTTCTTGCCTGCCAACCTAGGAGGAAATCTGAGTGCAGATGATTTTTTGGAGAACCCAAACAGGGGCGCAGTGTCCGTATGACTGTTTGGGTGTAGCTAAGATCTGGAAGAGAAGGGTTTAGATAAACATCTTTGCAAGGGAATCAGAGTTGTCAGTAAATTGTGTGGAGCTGGAGCCCGAGAGTATTCAAGCTGGTAGATGGCCTCACGGAAGACGACATTCCTTTTGCTGGTGATCTATTTGATATGGTCCGTCCTTTTTCTGCTTGCAGGCAACCCCCGTTGTCCCAACATGTTGCAACCAACAAAACCAGCAAAGACAGTCACCGTCTTCCTCAATGTTGATACAGGTTGCACTCAGTAGATCCCGGGTTTTTGAGGTTCAATTGCAAGGTCAAAGGGAAGAAGCAGATTGAAATTGATTGAAATTGTAGTCTGTCCTGAACTGAAACGTGTTTTAGATCATTTTTGACCATCCATTTAGGATCCTCTTTCAACTGCGGAAAAACTGGGATGCTCTTTCATTCCTTCGGTTTGTGAAGCTTTCAGAAAAGCGTGCGCAGATCTGAGGTTCACCCTGTTTGGCGTCGACATGATTCTCGGCTTTTCGCCTCAGTTCAGCAGTGCGGGCAAGGCGCTCTCCGCCACAGAGAGCTCCGAGAGCTGACCGTCGATCGAAACGAGTCCGCCTCTAATAGCCCAGTAAGTCCAAAGGACAGAGTGGCTTCAATAGACCCACTGGGTTCTTCTTCAGACCCACTGGGTACAATAGACCCACTCTGGGCGCCCGAGGCGTCTCTGGACTTACTGTTTGGGTTCGGTGGGAGGAGAGCGACCAGTCAGACCTCTCGTCGCGAACGAAGGCGCGCGAGCCGCTCGCGGTCGTCGCGGCAGGTGATTGGCGTCTTTGCAGTGGGTCAGCTGCCCATCGTCTCTAAGGAGTTGAGTGACTATACCCAAGCCAAGGCGCGGTGGATGAATTGATATAAACCAGGAGTCACATGGAGTTGGGTGGTTTGTAGCCCCTTACGTGAGTGGAGTAGCTGGGCACCCCTATCCTCCATGGATAGCACCCCTACAAGTGACTGCTGGAAGCTCATTGTTCCTGCAAGTGACTTGTGCTTAAAGGAGATCGATCTTGCCAGATGTGCTTGACACCAATGTTGGAAGAGGTCTCTTCCTTTCTTCCCAACTGAAAGCCGACAACGATGCAACACATTGGAAACAAAACCAGAGCGGGGTGATTTTCATTCCTGCCGAATTTCATCTATCAGACTATATCATTAGACTATATCTATCATCATATCATATCATATATGCATGAGCCATTTAAACACGGTTGCTTCCCGGTAGAACACCCCCATCTTGCCGGCCCATCGGCCCATCCTCCCCGACAGGATGCCGCGCTGCAAGAGCTCCGGGCTCCGTTGCACGGCATCCTGGGTCTTGCAAACACCTTGTCTCAGGACCGGTGCGAGGTGCGACGCTCCACACGGAGCAGCGCGTCGTCCGGTGGCACGGAGCAGCGCGTGGAGGTTGGTTGGACCCCGGACTCAAGACCTTGGAAAAGCCGCACCCTTTCGATGAAGATAGATGAAGATCAACTTTTCCCTTTCGGTGTCGACCGCTTAATGTTGGTGGACATTGATGTAGGAACCATCGGGGGTAGGGGTTGGTCCAACTTGATGCCCAAGATTATTCTGATGTATTTACTAGTAGCGATGCACTTGTTCCTAGTAGCTTCTTGTTTCTACTAGCTTCTTGCTCCTAGCAGCGTCTTTGTTACTACTAGTAAGGCACTTGTTACTACTAGTAAGGCACTTGTTACTACTAGTAAGGCACT